AACAGAGCCATCTCATTGTCCTTTTTCCTGCACTGAAATACATTTTTGATACTAACAGATGCATACTAAAAATGTGTTTCAATATTTACCCAACTCTGGCCCTGATATAGCACTCCTTTTTTAAGAGACCCCAAATCATGAAGTTCAACTTTATAATTAGGCTTGAGGAAGCATTTTGACTTCAGATTAACAGGTGGACACCAACAATGTATGTAATGCATGCCAGCTAAGATGAAGAAAGCTTGGGAACTGTGAGATTTTGTATTTGATTACTCGTTCATATTTGGATAAAGAGATTGCATAACTGACTTTCTTCCTCCAGCAAATAACATTCTAGATATGCATTTTAAAATTCCAAATTTATTTGAATAAGCAACTTGGAAAGATCAGGTACATTCATCTAAAAGCTTTTCTTAAAAAAATCTATTTTTTAGTTTTAGGTGGACACAATATCTTTATTTTTATGTGGTGCTGAGGGTCGAACTCATGCTAGGTGAGCGCTCTACCACTGAGCCACAACCTCAGCCCCTAAAAGCTTATTTTTAAATTAGAATTTCTTCATTATCTTCAGACTAGAAAATACCAATTACATGTTTATAGGATGGTGTGATTGATTTAATATGATTTCTTAGATATCTCCAGTAAGTGAGGGAGTGAGTTACAGACCTGATATTTTCTTCCTGTATCTGTAGAAGAAATTTTTAGAAGTAGGATCTCTGGATTCAAAGATAGGTCTTTTAATGTTTACTGAACACCTTTCTTCCGAAAGTACATGAGAGCATCCACGTTCTCCCATTTCAAGATTGGTATTAATCTTCCATTCAGTGAAGGTGATCTGCTCTCCTCTACCTGCCTGCCCTCAGAGAATTAAATCCTTTATGGAAGATGATAAAATAACTTTCATAATATTCTATTCCTAACAGCTGATGTTTGAAAGATGGCCATGTTTTCTAGGGATCAGGACCAAACAAACAAAACCAGAACCTGGGTGATCTAGATACTGAAGTTATGTGAAAGATTGTGAAATTGTATTGATTAAAACTTTCAAGAAAGCAGATAAAAGTTGGAAAGTTTTATGAGAGCTTGGGCTCAGACATCCTACAGTAAAAAAAAAGCAAGAACTAAATAATTAAGTGGGTGCATTTGATAGTAGATTAAATACTACTTTTTTTCCCCTCTGACTCATAGTTTGAGAGTTAATATCTGAATAACTTGAGCTTCATCCTCAAAACTAGACAATGTTCCTTCACAGCAATGTGCTGTGCACATATAGGCAGTGTCTTTGGAGCATGTGGGTAACCAGAGTATAGGATTTTCTGTGGAGAGAGATTTTTGAAAACCAATATTTAGATTTCAATGAACTTAAAGAATCTTCTCAGGCTATGGGATGACTGGAACAAGTAAAGTTTTAGAAAATGAAAACAGGAAGACTTCAAGCCTCATCAATAGGAATTTACATTGACTCTTGCCAAAGCAGCAATTCTTTAACTCCTGTTTAAGATATTTAGGACCTAGGTGACATGATTGCATTAAGGAAATTGAGATAAGGAAAAGAACATGAGCCATAGGCCTGAGTAGCAAGTGAGTTGTTTAAGAGTCTAGGGTAGCTGTGTGGGACATGAGGTGTTTGGGAGAAAAGAGGAGATCATACAGTCGAGGAAGACTAAATAGTTACTGCTTCTGAATGTTTCCTTCCTATTGTGTAGGCTGCACCTAACTAAACTGGACTGGGAAGAAATGGCAATTTCATGGGGTTTTCCTGTTTCTTAATTATCCTTTGTCATTATGCTACTATTCTTCAAGAATAGAATCATGTTAGCCACTTACAGTGAGTTGGAATGTCCTCCATTTCTTCTAGAAATTATGTTTCTATTCTCAGGAAGTGGACACATCTCAATTGCAGAAATGAAAAACCAGGCTTAGAGAAGTTACTATGGTTGCTTTAATTCACAAAAATAGAATTTGAACTGATTGGGTGATATGAGTTTTGCTATAAAATTTTCAAATATTAAAAAAGTTGGACTCACCCAGTCCCATAAGATTCTACAATAATAAACATCTTGTCACATTTGTCACTTTTCCCCTTTTTGATGAAATATCTTTTTTTCCAGATCCCTTCCTCTCTGAATTTCTCCTCCCAATCTCTAGCTGGGATAGGGTGGGGTTCTTCCTCTTGACTGGCATTCATGTAGTGAAAATAGGAATGGTCAACAGAACTCCACAGTCTCTGCAGCTTCAGGCAGGGAGGCAGAGGGGGCACTTGATTAGTGCAGGGAAAGATGTACAAGTCTTTAAGGTAGCACAGATGTGGGTTGGTGGGTTCTGTCTTGTAATTTGAAGAATGAAATCTATAGACACAAGGGTGAGAGCAAAGCAACAGGATTTATTAGAGTAATATAAAGAAAGCAAGCAAAGCTACTGCAGGGGGAGGAGGGTCCCAAGAGAGGGTTGCCAATGGGTGTCTGTTGTTTAGGGGTTTTATGGGTTTGATCTATCCCTATAGGTAATTGGTGGGATATAGGATTCAGAAAGGGACAGATCAACTATTCTGTCGTCTTCAGCAAAAATGGAGAAAAGTGATTTCTAAGAATTAGCACAGCGGTGACAATGAGGGTCTGTTGGTACAAGAGGAAGCACTGTTTGTGGTTAGTCATGTCTAGGGGCTGTTAAATAACTGCCTGTGGCCAGACTAACTGGGGTCAGAAGGTTGATTTCCAAATCCTTTCTCCCTCCTTTTCTTCTCTGAAACCACTTTCCGTCTATGGGTGGTCTACCGTCTGTATTACCAAGACAACAGGGCTAAATGGAGGAATGTTGCTTTTGATATTACCTAAAGGAGGATGGATTTAGCTAAAAGGTTTCCACAAAGCTACTATTTTTCCAGGCCTTTTGCTAGAAGAAGCAGGCTTTCTTAAGGCTTTCCCCTGCTCTGTGTCTAGTGTTGTTATGGGTTGTGGACTTCTATAATGTCCAGATTTTTGTTTACAAGGATCAATGTGTAACCTTACTTTCTGTGTGCAGTGTACTGGAATTCTCTACATAAAACAGTATGACTTTATTGGAGTATCTTCCCATTTGATAAGCACTCAACCCCAACATTTGTCTCCCCAGCTACTTAAGAAGTGAAAGTGCTGCAGAGCATCTAGACCTTTAAACAGACTAGGTAATCATCCTAGGGGAAAAGTCACTCCAAATTCTTGGCTCCTCAGTTCCATTTTGACTCATTATTTCTCCACTTCCTTGTTAACTTTTTTTAAAATTTTTTGCTTTATTTATTTATTTTTATGTGGTGTTGACGACTGAACCCAGGGCCTCACACATGCTAGACAAGTGCTCTACCACTGAGCCACAACCTCAGTTCCCTTGTTGACTTTCTGATGGTGTCTGAAAGATATTTTTAAAATTGAATTTGGAGAGATATTTTTTCCCTAGTTGTTCTAAGTAGGAGGATTATTTGTAATTTTTTCATTATTACTTGCAATGAAGGAACAGTAGTATTTTTTTAATGCATCCATTCTAATTAAAATGTTTTTGCCATTTTTATCTGAAAAAAAGTTTTTCTATTGTCAATGTGATGTTGTTTAATACATGCCTGCATATAAACTGGAAAATAAGTTTTATTAAAAATTTTGAGAGGTAATATTCATATATTGTGAGGTCTGATTCCTTTGAATGGTTCCCTTCTCTTAAGTCTCTCACTTTTTCTAATTATAAAGAGATTTTTCCCAGCATTTGAGATACATACTTTCAGTTGGTCATGGTATGGATGTTTGTTCAGCTATTTTAGAATCACCTTTAAGCCATTTTTTTTCCTAAAAAAATGAAGAACCTGAATCTAATGTAATCTTTAAATCTAATTTCCAGTCTATGGGGAAAATAGGTGAGTGAGGAAAATAAATGACAGATCCAGGAATGGCAGACAAAGCCAATATATGGGAGTCCTGAATGATAGTAAATGGAGCTTCTTTAGCAGGCCATGGGTGTGAAGAGGGATAAAAGAGGTCAATTGTAGATTACAGGAGACTCTCAGAAATTATATAATAATCATATGCAATGAATGGATATATTCTATTATTAAAACAGGGTGTAAAGTCTTTTGAGAGAGTTTGGAATTTCAAATCAGGATAGATTATTTAAGAACTTACTATTTTGTTAATGGATTTGTTATAAATGTAAGTTTTCTTATGTTTTGAGGAATATTATGAAATTATTTTTTGGGAAATGACAAGATATCAAGGATTTGCATTTAATCTACTTTAGTAATAAAAAAGCAAGTGTAATGTTAACAGAAGTGACTCCATTGTATGACCCAGAATTTATTGTAAGCTGTGGTGACCACTTTCTTACATGCCCAGAGGCTTCCTGAGAGGAAACCTCCTGAGGATTTTATAAAACTAATGGACCTGTGTTACACCAATATCTACAGAAGTAAATTTATCCTTTAATAATAATTTTTGACAACCTATGTTAACTCAGTTCCTCCTTTTTCTAAACCTATAAAAGTACCCTCTAAGCCCCTCCCAAAGGGAACGCATTCTTGTTTTTCTTGGAATCTTTGCTTATGAAATGCAAATTTAAGACCCCAAATAAGTGTACTTTTTTTTTTGGCATCACAGATTGAGCCTTTTTGAATGACAGAAAAAATGGTAAAGCAAAAGGGACAACATGCTGATAATTGTTGAACCTGGAAGATAAGTTTATGGACATTTTACTGTTTCTTCTATGTGTATGTGTGGGCACGTGTAAATCATGCTAGAAAAAAATATTTCATTTTTGTCCAAAGGAAACCTGAGCAGAACAAGCTTTCTGGGTTATGTTGTTCTTCAACTTCTGGACTTGAGCCTCTATCTCACATAATAAACCAGGCCTCCCTGTATTCAACTGTTAATGGAAGAGTAAGGCACATGATTGATTTATCTGATTTATGACGGAGCAGGTTAGAAGTAGGTGATGTGATATCTGACAATGGATGGAAGAAGAGACATTTTAAAGATTGTAAGTAGGATTTACCCCTTTTAATATTCCAATGAGTTCTCCAATTTCCTGCTAGGGTAGCTTTCACCCACTTGACACATTTCTTTAAAATGAACAATTCAACATTTGCCTTGATTCCCAAGTTCCCATCAAACAAGGGAATCCAGTCAACACGAAATTGAGACCTGCGTGAAATTTGTTGTCTGGTGCAGTTGAGGCTGACTCCCTTTCCACATCTCCATTTTAACAGCACATGGCTTCCGCTCTATAATGGTTCTTAATCTTCTTTCTGTATTTCAAGCTTGATTCTCTTCTATACTTGATATTTTCTTGATAACCATACCTTTAATCAGATGTGAAAGAAAAAAGTGTTGAAAAAGAAAAAGGAAGATCGGGCTCAACTAAGAGAACAAAAATTCATTCAGGGCGAACTCGATGATTCTGACTCTGGGGTCTGGGATGTCACCCAATGGTAGGCCGCTTGTCCCGCAGGCATGAGGCCACGAGCTCATCGCAGCACCCCCACTCCCAACCCCAAACCCAAGGACGGTCGTGAAAAGCGAGGAGCGTCGCCGAGTGGCGCACCACGGGGTTGAAGAAACTTCCGCTCCAGGTGGTGCGTGGGCGGTGCTCGTTTGCCAAGAACGCTGGGTTTTGTTTTGTGGGCATTTCAGCTCCAGAACGCCACGGCTATAGAATATTTTCCTCTCCAGGATTTAAAGAAGTTGAATCCTGTCACTCACGAAGTAATCCACAATTTCTCAGATTATGACAGGGTCGAGGCCTTCCGCGCCCTCCGCAGCGCAGGGCAGGAACCCTAGAGCGTTGGCTCTTGGGGGAGGCGGGACTGCGGACGCAGCCCCCTTGACATTCTGGGAAGTCAGGGCGAGCGCCCCCCCACCATGGCCTCCCTCACCTCACTGGGCAGGGTGGGGCGGGGCGTTGTCCTGGGGCCTTCTGGGAAGTGGAGTCCGGAAGTCCACTGTAGTCACAGACACTTCCGCTCCAGGAGGCTGCGTGGGGATTCTGGGAAAAGATGGCAGAAGACAGTGTTTACCCCGCGGAGGGGCGAGCTTTTGGCCAGTTGTTCCACTGGGGTTTTCGTCGCTTCTGAATCCCGCAATTCCTATGAACTTTCCTGACCTGCTTATGAGGAAACAACAACAAAGTTGTCGGTGTGGGAGGAAAAGAGCAGATGTTGAGGAACGGGGATGAGATGACGATGGCGGTTGCTGGGCAGAACGGCCTCGCACTTGGGAAGAGTCTCGCTTTCCAGGTTGGGTGCGGCCCCTCTCAGACTCACTGGGGCTGGTTTTCCGCAGTTCACCTTCCACACCTGTACGGGGGAGCGACTTACCTAACCTCTCTGCCTCTGATTGCTCATAACAGCACTTGTAAGGTATGGAAAATGGCAAACCCCAAATAGTGTGGTCTGGGAAAAGGGAGTGAGGAAGATGGCCAAAGGTTGATAACGTTGATCCTTTCCCAGGACATCCATTCCCAGTGACAGGAAAACCCCTGGGAGGGAAGCAAACATCACCCAGTGAGGAGACAGTCCCTGGGAAGGAGATATCCTTCAAGCCTAAAATGGAAGCCTCTGGGAGGAAGCCAAAGCATTGATCTTCCCAAATAAATCCTTTCCCAGTGACAGTACGATGGGATCGTGAAGGGAACACTGACCCAGCCACCCCATTCTTACCCAAGTAATAACATTGCCCAGTAAAAGCAAATTTCAAATTCTCACAAACCTGTTTCCTGAGTGCCCAAACTGACACGCTCTGTCAATAATGAAGTCACCTCTCAGTGTAGCATTTACAAGCACAGATTCCTCCTTGGCCAGTGGCTCATTTTCCATCAGGAAGGTGGGTCCACCAGATGCACGACTCCACTGCTGAGTAAAGGCTGTGATGATCAGTGACATTTGTACTTGGCTCAGTCATTTTGTGCTAACATTTTGGTTCCCTAACTGGGAAGCAGGTGAAAGGTAATATTTTGTCCGTCTCTGTACCCAAAAAACCCATTCCCTCTCCCCACAGGTTAAACAACTGATGGGGCCTTGAAAGTTACCATCAAACGTCTGGAACTTCCATGGCTTTCTGAAAGTTGGGGGTCCCCCAGCCACCACTCATATAAGCTAAGATTGAATCCTCAAACTGACTGTGTCCCCTGCCCACCCTGTAGAACACAGCCCTTCACAGCCTCTGCAGTCCACTTTAGCTGAGCAACTGCCAGCTTTGTGTGGGAGAAATTTGGTGCATAGGACACAGGAAGACTTAAGGCCATTGAAGGAGGCTGGCCAGGGCCATCCCTGGTATTGCAGGAAGGTCTTATGTCTTAAATCTGAACCTGACAGCCCTCAAGGGTACCAAAAATAGACCTTCTGCTAGATAATTGTGGCTTGATGCCATTTGGATGGTGCAAGGATTTCTATCAAGTCCTTTATGGCTATTGAAATTACCCTATTTATATTTCCTCCCCTCACCAACATTCCCTTCCCTTACACACCCAGCAAAACTTCATGGATCAACGACTTCCTTGCCATTTTGTTTCTGCATCCACCACTGGCCTCCGCATCTATCTGGAGAGGTAAAACTCCATTCATCTAGTCTCCAGCAGAGAGATACCCACCCTTTGGCCATCCAGGACCCTGGGAGGTCCCTCACCCAGGAGGTTCCTCACCCCAGTGGGAAAATTCCAGTCCAATGACTGGCACCCTTGTGACATAAGAGTTCAGGGGACACTCTGCTCTTAAAGCATCGCTTCTGTCAAGTCTCTCCAAACATGGAAGTTACCCAGTCAGTTCCCAGAGACACTGTGGGGAGCCACTCTGATTGATTCATGTCTTCCATTTCAGAGCACAGAGGCTTTGACCGTCACTACATCTCGTAGTGACTTGGACATTGCCCCTGTCCCAGAAGTTCATAAGTTTGAGGATGCAGCTTCAGATGTAGGCATCACCCTACAGCCCTTGGGTCAAATTACACTCACAAGTCCCTTGTAACTCCACCCCTTCTTACCTTTTTTGGATGGAACTTTCTAAGAATGAGGGTCCTCCCAATAAAAGCCCACTTCCAAACATGCTGGCTCACTCTCTCTCACCAGCCTCTTGGGACTATCCCTCACTCTCCCATTTGGGGAGCTTGAGGCCAAGAGCAGAGGAGCTATACTGAATCTTGTTTAAAGGTAAAGTGTGTGTCTGTGTTTTATTTGGTGTCCCTGGAAATTCACACAAGCGACCTTAAGTTCAGCTGCCCCTTGGGCCGTTTCTTTACCAATTTTAAGACCCTCTGCTCCCAAACTGACCTCAAAAGTAATGCCTCATTAGACTCAGCACTCAAACAGTATAAATGGCCCAAGTATGGAACTCTTGATAAAGAAATTCTCCAGGCTTTGGAAAAATATTGAATACAGAATGGCAAGTTGTCTGAGGTTCCCTACCTCCAGGCCTTCTTTTTCCTTTGCTCAAACCACTCCCTATGCCAACCTTATTCTGCTGTGCAGTTACTAAGTATGGACTCACAACTTTCTTCTTTATTCATAGCCCCAGAGATAGCCAATGAACCCCCCCTTAGAGATTCCTGGGGTCCCACAGCCTCCTCTCCAGCCTCCCCCTCCCCTTCAGGTTCCCATCCTCAAAGTCCCACTGCTTCCCCATTAGACCCTCCTCCTCAAAACCCCACATTCTCACTTCCCTTTGCCACTCCCACTCCACATACAAGGTCAATAACCCTCCCCAAAATACATCTGTTTCCTCTCTGGGAGGTGGCAGGGACTGAAGGGAGTGTCCAAGTCCGTATCCCCTTCTTCATGAGAGACATGTCTCAAATAGAAGACAGATTAGGCTCATTTTCTGAAAATCCTGCCATATAGCAAGGAGTCTCATTCAGCCCTATCACCTCACTTGGGCAGATGTATATTATATATTAACTTCCACCCTGACCAATGATGAAAGTGCCCACATCTGGAAGGCCACTAGGGATCATGTGAACCTCCTACATGCCCAAAACCGAAATATCCACCCAGCAACAGATGCTGCAATCCCTGCAGCTAACCCTGATTGGACACATCAGACTCAAGACCCCAGGGTCATTGGACTCCAACACATGGTTACTTGCCTCCTTGAAGGCATGACAAAAAATTCTCACACCCAGGTAAACTGGGAAAACATAAAGGAAACTACCCAGAGACCTGATGAAAATCCCACCCTATTTTTGGCCCAACTTACTGAGGCTGTTACCAAATATACAAACTTGTATGTCTGTAGTCTTGGTGGCAGTCTATTCCTTCATTTTAACTTTGTCAGCAGGTCTGCACCTGACATTCACAAGAAACTCAGAGAAGGGTCCTGGGTCTCCCAAGCAGTTGTTTTTAGATGTGACATTCAATGTCTTTAACAACAGGGAAGATGAGGCAAAAAGGAGAAAAAAAACAGCTTAAAACTAAACATTAGCTTCTGCTTCCACCATCCAGGGCCCTAAAATAGTCCCTGCAGCTCATGGCCCCAGACCCTCTTGTGCACCTCCCAGGCCCTGCTTCCAATGTGGGCAAACTGGACACTGGGCAAGGATCTGCCCTAATCTGAGCTCCCCCCACAAGCCATGTCCCAACTGCAGGCAATGAGGACACTGGAAGACAGACTGTCCCTGGGAGAGGACACCTTTTCCCCCAGCACAGATACCTGGGGAAGTTTCATTCACTGAGTTACTGGAATGAAGGGGGCCCAGACTCCACTGCCCCAGTCACCTCAGGATCCCAGGGCTACAGGGATGGTGAATGGCCATGCAATATCATTGGTGATTGACCCTGGAGTAAGTCTTATTTCTGACTCAAGGGCATGGGCCCACCTTCAAATCAAATACCCCAATTATTGGAGTCTTAGGAATACTTATATATCTGCTGCAGACACCTCTCCTTTTTGGTACAATTGGATTCCTTTCATTATCTCATTTGTTTATTGTCAGGAGCCAGCCATGGGCACATGAGGGGGCTGGACTGAGGTCGCTGCTCTGACTGGGCTGTGTGACATACCTTTTTGCTTGTTCTGCCTTTAATCCCACACAGCACCTGAGATGGGTGTGGCTTTCCAAGATGTCAGTCAAATCTGCTGACCACAAGACATCACCAGGCAACCCCCTGAGACCCAATCCCTTGTCTTATTTGGGTTGAACATTCTTGAATGTCTTTCCACCCAATAAATAGGATGGTTTCAGACATGCTCTCTCTCTTTTGCCTGCCTCTCTTGCCTCTGTTGTGGGGGCTGGGGCAGAGGAGCAGTCACTGAACCCCGAGAAAAAGGTACTTTCTGGGTCTGTGTGACTTGTTGTGCCAGCCCAATTCACCTGGAGTGACCCTGTCTGATTCAGTCACATGCTGCGACAGTTTATAATTGTGCCAAGTTGCCTCTTGGGTCGAGATCTCCTTCACAAATTAAAAGCTTCCATTTTCATTCCCCCCTTAAAGTCCATTATCATGTTTTTACTTCATTCTAGTCTGGACCTGGTCCCTGTTAGGAAAATGCCTTAGAACTAAATCACCTGAACACACTGATGCTAAGCAGAAGCAAGTTTATTGTCAGAAAATCTGACAAGGCTGCGTCCGCACAGAGAGAACAGCAGCAAACTGCCTCTGAAGTAAATTTTCTAAGTCAAAGCCTGGGTTATGCATTGGGGGTGGGCTTAGCCCATGCTATTGAAGGTGGAGAAAAAGCTTCAAAACCTCAAGAACCACAGAGGGGAGGGGCCAGGAGGAGCAGACACATTGCCTCCAGCTCCTGGAATTGGCAGGCCCCTCTACATATTCAGAAAGTCTGTGAGCACTGTGGTCAGAGTGCAGGTGGGTGGAGATGTCGGCCTCAGGGTTAGCAGGCTCTTGCAGGAAGGGGGAAGGGGGGAGGGAGCAGGGTGAGGTGTTTGAGCAGAATGGAGTTAGCTTGACTTAACTTTCTTAGTTAACCCATAGTTATGTTAACAGGCTAACATTCCCTGCACCCCCTGACCTCCTAGGTGTTCTTTGCTGGCTATTAATCTCACAGTCTGGGATATAGCTCAACCCCAAAGAGCTAAACACCATTTATGGTTCACATCCAGCTAAAAGACCCCACATGGTTGGAGGGAGGGATTACTTGGATCCTGACAGCCAGTGTCTTGTGGGTAGTGTCACAGTGACAGAACTATGAACTGATCAAATACATTTGCATCTTTCCACAATGTCAGAATTTATTGCATAACAAATTCCCAAGCTATACCTCATTCAGTGATTGCAGTTCATGGAATATGTTTCACCTGATAGTCATAAGGCAGCAATCACAGGTTCCTTTATTTCATCCTTAATCACTAATATCTACAAAACTCAAGTAACATATAACACTTTAGGATAACTATATATAAGGTACAGAAAGACTAAGAAAGGGTTAGATCTTAGGGGAGGGAGTTACTTTGGTGGTCTAGTGGGCTTGATGAGCTCATGGGCTGGTTTTTCTTATATGGTTTTGGTATACCCATGCATTTATGTGTTTCTGATTTAACTCATTAGGTGCACAGGTCATTTTTATTAGAACAATTATTAGTTTGTGCCTATGATTGTGTTAGACAGATGGTGACTCTTCACTTGTACAAACAAGGTATTCTATCTCATCCCTTATATACTCCAAATGGAGTAACTCATGGTAAACTATTTATTTATAAATGAAGTAACTCAGGGTTAAATACTGTCTGAAAACTACTGTTCTATTCATCATAGAGTAACTCAAAGCAGGACACAGCCTGCCCTTCACACTCTACCCCTTGATTCCTCAATGTATGAGCCCAGGTGTTCTGACCCAAGAGAGTGCTGGAGGCATAAGTTTTAAGTAGCAGAATCCAAATATCACTGCTAATAACAAGAGCAGTGTTTCTTTTAGACATGACCAAATTGTGCTGGTCAAATTATACCAGCCCATCTTGATTAAGGTCAGAGTGTTCCTGTTGGACCATGAACCTGTGCATGGTGTGTGCTTTGAAGGATTTATGAATTAGTAGGAAGAACCAGCATTTTGCATTCAATATTCAATATTGACTTCAATATCTTGCAAGTGCAACTGAATATGTATTTAGTACTGCAACTGCATGTTTGGTAAGCTGAAATGAATTCTTTACATTTTCCAATTATTAATGTAAGACACCAGCTATTGTTTCAGTTCCTCCAATGCTATTTCAATAACATTGTCCATGTGTGTCACATGCACCCGTGGTATTTCTTGGATTCTACCATACTATGTTTCAAGCAAATGTCTGTATGAGATTTGGGGGGAAATGGGAGGATAGGTAACATTTTCCATTCTTATTAATCTTGATTACATTTGTCAACTTTACACATTCTGGGTTTATAATAACCTGAGCATTTGACCCTGAGGTATGAGTATACTATTGCACCTCAGTGCTTGTTTCTAAATAAAATTTCCACTGTTCCTAATGTATAGATAGAGTTGCTATATTTATGGGGTAATAATATATGGTTGGGGTAATCTCTTTGAATGTATAATACACTGATGATGACCATTTATGCATAATTTCTTTGTTCATACAGAATCCTCATTTGTATAATGGGTCTCCTTTAGCTGAAATTTGATATTTATGATCATTGCATATTGGGGTGTTGCTGTGGTGGGACAGACTATCAGTGATGTTCCATCTTAAAGTTTAATTATGTGTAGTGAGCTATCTGCTGACACTGAATACCCAGTAGGCCTAGATGGTTAGTTTATGCTATTGTTTGTTGATAGAAACTTTCAGCATAAAACAATCCAGTTTGTCTGCTGTTTCTGATGTCCTGCCATGCACCATCTAGTAGCTGTTGTATTTTATTACATTGTGTTTGAAGCTTATTCTGAATCACATTATATCTAAGAATTTGAAAATTAGTTTTAATTATGCCCAACTTATGGTTTAAGTGGTAATTGATTTATTCTTGGTATTTCTGCCAGTTGTCGCGTTCCTCACTACAAAAACACTCAGGGTCACTACAGAGGAACTGGGATGCATGAAATAACCACACAAAAGACAGAGATACCTTATTCTTTGGGGGTCCTGTGACGGCTCCTCTGACCTTAAGGGTCCACAGAAAGACAGCAAGGAAGTGCATGCTGAACCCTTTTATTGAGGAGAGGCCATTCAAATAAGGCAAGGGATCAGGTGTCAGGGGGTTGAGTCTAGCTTCATGATGTCTACTGTCAGCAGGCTGACTAACATCTAGGAAGGCCACACCCAAAGGCAGAGCAAGAGAAGGGGACACACAAAGGGTGTTTCCATGGAACATTCTATTCCAAACAGGGCAAAGGGGTAATATCTACAAAGGAACAGGTGAGAGTAATTCGATCCCTGGGGCTGCAGGAAGGCACACCTATGCCTGAAGACACATTCTGCTACTTAGAGGATGGGGGCAATATTGAGGTCACTATGAAAGTGACCAACAGAGCCTCTTTCCATCACAGGAAGGAGAATGCCAGT